CACCCGGTTTTCATTCAGCTGAATATCAATTTTACAGTGACGTACCAACATCAGGATGAGTATGTGGATGAGGACCCAAGAGCAGATTCAAACAGCAAAGAGGTGATAAGCTTTTCACAAGCCTTAATGCTTAAGCACAAGAGTAAACAGGACACGAGGGAGGGATACTTGCTGTGATTTTTAAGATGTATGAATAAAACTGAATTGTAACTGAATTGAACAGGAGATAAACAGTATACCAACTTAACCTGTTGTAGTTAAATGTATTTCTCATCTTATTTTGTACCTCTAATAATAACACAAACAGGAAATACTCCTTCTCTTGTACTATTTTTGTAGTAATGTATACATTATGGGTGTAAAGCTACATCCAGATGAACAGAATCAACTTTTCGGGATTATGTGTTTGTATCGTCTCTGCCTTGTTAGACCCATTTACGAAAAAATAAGACAGTTTTAATCTCAGATATCTATTCTATATGAATTAATACAGTAAAGATATGGCATGATTTTCTCACCTAGTAAAGGAATATTTTATATGTATATAAAATATTTATATTAGTAGTACTCTGTAGCTACTCTTAATTTTATCAGACATGCACTTTTAAGACAGATTCAGGATTCAGATTCAGGTGGAACAATATGGTTTGTCCTGATAGCAAAACACTGGACCAGGTCTTCATCTCGTTGAGGATATATTGGATTGTAATTCGTATTATTGTAGGCTTCATAACATATAGCACCTTGAGGAGATTGTTGTTGTGATTAGCGTTATGTAAGGCATGATGGTGAGGATTTCTGACCCCATATTACAAGCCTCAAGACTCATTTCCGGTAGGTGCCCACTCCAGGTTAGGGACGAGTTGCTACACCAAAGAGGCGAGTTTAAGTAAAAGTCTTGTTCATAAGTCAGGGGAGAGGGAAATCAGAGTTTGACTGACAGATTGGGGTCACGTGCAGTGATGTGGACTATGTCAGCCACTTGGTTATGGCGTTCCATGTATGCCTTGCCTGCTAGCATCTTGCACCCTGCTGTTATGTGCTGGATTGTCTCAGGGGCATCTTTACACAGCCTGCACCTGGGCCTTACCTGGTGTGATAAACCCCAGCCTCAATGGATCTTGTACTCAGAGCTTGTTCCTGTGCTGCCATGATTAGCGCCACTGCACTGTCTTTCAGTCCAGCTTTGTCCAGCCACCGGTAGGATTTCTGGATATCAGCCACCTCCTCTATCTGCCGGTGGTACGTACCGTGCAGGGGCCTGTCCTTCCATGATGGTGCCTCCTCTTGCTCCTCATTCTTGGGTTTCTGCTGCCTGAGGTATTGACTGAGCCCGCTGTCGGTTGGGGCCATCTTGCTGATGTATTCGTGGATGTGGTGCTGACACTCACTAGTTTCTGGCCTCCTTCCACTTAGCATACTGCCTCAGGGTGCTGGACTTGGGGTGAAACCCTCCATGCATGGTCAGGAGCATCCTTGTCTTGATGTCAGTGGCTTCTATCTCTTCCTTTGGCCAGCTTATTATCCCAGCAGGGTACCTGATCATGGACAGGGCGTAGGTGTTGATAGCCCGGATCTTGTTCTTACCGTTCAGCTGAGGAGGAGATAGAAGCCTGACCTTCTGCAGGTACTTGGTGGTTGCAGCTTTCCTAGCAGCTTCTTCATGGTTCCCATTTCCCTGTGGGATATCCAGGTATCCTCTATGTCTGCAATGTTGCCTTCTGATAGTTCGATCCCCTCAGTTCTGACTACCTTTTCTCTTTTTGTTATCATCCAACTACACTTCTCCAGTCCGAACGACATTCCAATGTCATTGCTGTATAGCCTGGTAGTGTGGATCAGTGAATCGATGTCTCGTTCACTCTTGGCATACAGCTTGATGTCATCCATGTACAGGAGGTGGCTGACAACTGCTCCGTTCCGTAGTCGGTATCCGTAGCCAGTCTTGTTAATGATCTCACTGAGGGGGTTCAGGCCTATGCAGAACAGCAGTGGGGACAGAGCATCTCCTTGGTAGATCCCGCACTTGATGGTGACTTGTGCTATGGGCTTGGAGTTGGCCTCTAGTGTTGTACGCCACATCCCCATTGAGTTCCTGATGAAGGCTCTTGAGGGTAAACGTATCTATATATTTAGATTAGATTATTATATATATACAATATATATATATATACTATATATGCCCATTAGTCATATGAGGGCCTATGACTGAATGCCCCACACCTGGATCCTGGAATGTCTAGAACTATGTGGCGGACAACACTACAGGCCAACTACAGTGCTTTGCTCCACTGCACCTGATGCTTTGTTGTAAGGCTTGAATGTTGCTGTTCGGTCATGGAAACCTATTCCACAAAGCTCTCCACGAACTAGTAGCCAGGAAATTTCATCACTGGACTTGTCACACAGGTGGCATCCTAACATGGTACCATGCTGGAACTCAATGAGTTGAGGAATGATTGGAACATCTCAATTAAATGATTTGGGTGGGTGAGTAGACACTTTTGGCAATATAATGCATGTGAAACTGTGTTTCATGTAGCTGTCATACTGGCCTTCTACTGCTGCCTCCACTGATTTTTTTTTCAGCTGACCAACATTGGTTGTTTTAAAAAGGAGAGAATTAAAATATGCATGTTACTGTACTTTCCACCGTGTGGTTAACTTTATTTTTATTATGATTGTATACATGTTGCTGAAAATCCGACTTGATTTTATTTCTCTTTCTATAGTTCTGCAGCACATTTGATGTGATACTGTGAACAGCATTATATCTTATGTTAGGGCTTGTTCACCTGCCAAATGCCCCTTTAACCACTGACAAATAGTAATTTTTGTGTTTGAGTGTGGAGGCGGACCCATTCCCTTTCTTGGTTTTTGCTGGTGTTCTATAAATCACGTCAAGACGGACTACCTGGAGAGAACCCATGCAAACGAAGTGAGAACAAGCAAATTCCAGTTGAACTCAGGATCTTTTAGCTTTTAGGCCACAGTGTTAACCATCGCACCGCCGTGCTGCCCCCCTTGTTATTTCCTACCATGATAATTCATGGAACCCTGAATACATCTTGTCTCTACTCTGCAGTGATCTTAGTTGCCAGAGAATCTGCAAAAATCAGTCACAGCTATTTATAACAGCTTGACATTGAGAATGTGGGCTGATCTGAATTTAACTGCTCAGAATGAAGCCCAAGAGGTGCCAGTCTTTGGCAAACTGATAAAATGTAACAGCTCTGCAGGATTATGCTATGTATTAGAAACAATGTCATACCCACTGCCCAGCTCAGAATGGCCTTCACATACTGCAAACAGGGTTTAAAACACACGATTTAAAGCTAGAACTACACCTGCTTTGTGCCTGCACAAGTGTTGTACTTTAGATTCAATGTAACTTAACCAGCAACAAGAACATGCCACTAATTTTGTTCCCAGTGCTTTTGAGCAACATAAATTGGTTATTTCATTTTAGGGACAATGAAAACAGAAACGTTGACAAGGTACATATCCATCTCTAAAAGAACTGTAACAGTGTAAAATGTAAAAAAGACAAAAACTTGCACGAGAAGGTAGCAGTATTTCTCCATCTCGTTGCTGTTGTTTTGTTGTAAAGTTTCAAGTTTTGTGTATCAAGTGAGAAACTGTGTTCACTGTTTTTCAGAAGTGTTGGTGAGCGAATGCAATGATTTCCAGAATCATGTCCTGTTGAAGGATCAGAGAGCGTAATCATTGTCCTATCAAAGTCAAAGTCACAGTCAAAAAAACTTTGTTTATTTACATTCTCTAAATCTTCATGATTTACTCACATTTTACTTAGTGTTCAAACTATTGTGGAAAGTGGATTCTAACTAGAACATTTTTTTCCATTCTTATCGACTTCTCTTTAGACCTAATGGATTTTTCCCCAAAGATTTTTTGTTTTTTATAATTTGAATACAGTAGGTGAATGATGCATTTTAAAAATATGAATCACTGTTCAAAATTTTAATGTTATGCTATTAGCTTGGAACATTGTGATCTGCTGAAATGAACAGGAGCTTGACAGATAATTCACCTCGTGAATATGTTGGTATGATATCTTCCTGAGCCTCAAGTCCACAACACATCTGTGCTACGTCGTTTGGAGGGCGGGGCTTTGTTTTCGTAGGAGGGGAGGGGGTCTCTTGGCCGCTGTTGTGAATGGGGGGTCAGCATGACGTCAGAAAACCAATGTCAACAATGCAGCTGGAGGAGAAAAGGCGTTTCATCCTAACACACAATCACACTCACAAGAGACCCGTGTATCACTCATCGATTCACGTCCAAAGCCTGTTAAAAGCTGCGGTTCTGCCTGTCGAAGGACTGTGGACACTGCACAGCATGGATTAATTTTTGTTTCTCAGAAACTGAACGCAGACGAGCAAGAAAAACAACAACAAAAACTGGTAAGTCCTCCTCTGCTCGTTTACTACGCTTGGACAAAGCAGACAACAAGAACCTCTGTCAGCACTGGATTGGACTAATCTGCTTGGCTAGATTCCCTCGCTTGTTTGTGTTGCAGTTTCATTGCTGTTGTGTTCACTGGAGTTGCTTTGAGCACGGTTTCACTTATTCCTGAGGCGTACCCGCCTTTTATGGTTTGCTGACACGGGTCAGCAGGTATGCGGTGGACTACGCGTGTGTTTGCCTTGAAAACGCGTAACCTTTGCCGCAAAATACGTCGGGACAGTACGAAGCTTAACAAATCTGTGTTTTGGGGCTGTTTTGCTAAGCTGATTGCCAATTAAATTCAACAAACAGTATCACGAATTTACGTTATTAAAACGACTAAATATTGTTAGTATCCAACTGAAAGAAACCTCTGTACTCCGTACTGGACCACCAGTACAGTTAGTTTATGATAATCACATGCTTCTTAAAAGGAACGTTTGTACATGTCTACCGTTATTTGTTTGCTAACCACATCCCATTTTTGTAATACATTCTCTAATACTTATCTTAAGTTTAAACTGGAGGCACATGTTTTACGCGGGAGACAATTGCTTCCAGAAACGGACTCGAGCCCTGCCATTCTCGGGGAGGGAGGACAAAGGACCCAGCCTCCCTGCGCCTTATTCCCGTCTCAACTACTGAACAGCCACCTCATGAACACTATTCCACGATAAGAATAAATCGCTATGTATCTTGTTATTCCTGAGAAAGGATGTGTCAGAATTGGCTCTGCTTCTGCTTTTCAACCATCGCAATCCCTGTGCTCAAACTGTGACATAATCTCTGAGGTCTTTTTTGTTTAAATTTTGAATATCTTTATTCACTTGGCATATAAATATTTGTTACACCCAGTCATCACCAAATCCCGTTATTTCTACTCCCCAGATAATATGACTGGAGACTTAGAAGCCATTGTGAGCATGTCTTCTTGTTAACAGATTAGGTCTTTGTTATCCTTCAGCAAGTAGCCTACTACAAAGCCTCTCTTCATCTTTGTGTTAATAGAAATGCACTAACATCAGAATGTTTGACGCTCTTGTGATCTGTTTTCTCTTACAATTTCCATACTGTGGGGCAGGGGAAAGGTGACTTAAGCCAGTCTGCACATTAGCAGACTTCTTGTTGTAACTTACTGGGTTGTTCACAAAAAATAAATTAAATATACTACTACTACTACTACTACTAATAATAATAATGATAAAAATGGTGGTGCAGAGGTTAGCACTGTTCAATTCAAATGTATTTATATTCACAACAGTCGCCTCAAGTCACTTTATATTGTAAGGTAGACCCTAGAATAATGCATACAGAGAAAACCCAACAATCATATGAGAAAGCACTTTGGCGACAGTGGGAAGGAAAAACTCCCTTTTAACAGGAAGAAACCTCCGGCAGAACCAGGCTCAGGGAGGGGCGGGGCCATCTGCTGTGATGTGCATGAACGCAAAATTAACATAGCAGGACTACTAGCGAACTGCAGCTAAAAAGCTAGTGATTCGTCTTGCATCACTTTACATGAAGAATTGCGCTGCTAGCAAGCAGAGATGTAGCCCAAAATCGCGGCAGACATTATAATTTAATAACGCAAGATAGCAGAGTTGACTGACAACTATGTGAGTGAAGTTGGCCCCCCCACCTTCTTCAAATCCAACAAAAGTGGTATCAAACGTTTGTGCTACGTTTGTGCTGGTTTGTGCTGCAAAAATTTTCGTTTGTGCTGCTATCATTTTAAAGATATTAATAAAAATTTCTAGAGGTCATCAGAGGTCAACCAGCCCCCCCACATTAATTAAATCAAAAAAATGGTGTCAATCAACTGTGCTACGTTTGTGCTGGTTTGTGCTGCTAAAATTGTCGTTTGTGCTGCTTCTGTTTTAAAGATATTAATGAAAATGTAAAGGTCAAAAGGTCAACCAGCCCCCCCACATTACCCAAATCAAACAAAATTGATGTCAAAAGTTTGTGCTGGTTTGTGCTGCAAACATTTTTGTTTGTGCTGCTAACATTTTAAAATTTTAATAAAATAACGTCTTGATCCCCGAACCAAATGGTGGACACCAGAGGTGAAGGGAGCCACCAGGCTGAAGAAGGAGTCCTATCGGGCTTGGTTAGCCTGTGGGACTCCGGAGGCAGCTGACAGGTATCGACAGGCCAAGCGGAATGCGGCTCGGGCAGTGGCTGAAGCAAAAACTCGGGTGTGGGAGGAGTTCGGAGAGGCCATGGAAAAAGACTTTCGGACTGCCTCGAAGAGATTCTGGCAAACCGTCAGACGTCTCAGGAGGGGAAAGCGGTGCTCTACCTGCACTGTGTATAGTGCTGGCGGAGCGCTGCTGACGTCGACTGAGAAAATTGTCGGGCGGTGGAAGGAATACTTCGAGGACCTCCTTAATCCCACTGACACGTCTTCCGAGGAGGAAGCAGAGTCTGGGGATGAGGGGAATGACCCGCCAATTTCCGGGGGCGAGGTCACTGAGGCAGTTAAACAACTCCTTGGTGGCAGAGCCCCTGGTGTTGATGAGGTCCGCCCCGAGTTCCTGAAGGCTCTGGACGTTGTAGGGCTGTCCTGGTTGACACGCCTCTGCAATGTTGCGTGGAGATCAGGGGCAGTACCTGTGGACTGGCAGACCGGGGTGGTGGTCCCCATCTTTAAGAAAGGGGACCGGAGGGTGTGTTCCAACTACAGGGGGATCACACTCCTCAGCCTCCCTGGGAAAGTCTATGCCAGGGTGCTGGAAAGGAGAGTTCGTCCGCTAGTCGAACCTCGGATACAGGAGGAACAATGCGGTTTTCGTCCTGGTCGCGGAACACTGGACCAGCTCTTTATCCTCTCGAGGATACTTGAGGGTGCATGGGAGTTTGCCCAACCAGTCTACATGTGTTTTGTGGACTTGGAGAAGGCATTCGACCGTGTCCCTCGGGGTGTCCTGTGGGAGGTGTTGCGGGAGTATGGGGTGTCTGGCCCATTGCTACGGGCCATTCGATCCCTATACAACCGTTGCAAGAGCTTGGTTCGCATTGCCGGCAATAAGTCGGACTCGTTCCCGGTGGGTGATGGGCTCCGCCAGGGCTGCCCTTTGTCTCCGGTTCTGTTCATAATTTTTATGGACAGGATTTCTAGGCGCAGCCAAGTGGCGGAGGGCTTTCGCTTTGGTGGCCTCAGAATCTCATCTCTGATTTTTGCAGATGATGTGGTTCTGTTGGCTTCATCGGGTGAAGGCCTCCAGCTCGCACTGGAACGGTTCGCAGCCGAGTGTGAAGCAGCGGGAATGAGGATCAGCACCTCCAAATCTGAGGCCATGGTTCTCAGCCGGAAAAGGGTGGAGTGCCCACTCCGGGTCGGGGATGAGTTCCTGCCCCAAGTGGAGGAGTTCAAGTATCTCGGGGTCTTGTTCGCGAGTGATGGGAGAAGGGAGCCGGAGATCGACAGACGGATTGGGGCTGCAGCTGCAGTAATGCGGACGCTGCACCGGTCCGTCGTGGTGAAGAGGGAGCTGAGTGTAAAAGCGAAGCTCTCAATTTACCGGTCGATCTACGTCCCTACCCTCACCTATGGCCACGAGCTGTGGGTAGTGACCGAAAGAACGAGATCGCGGATACAAGCGGCAGAAATGAGCTTCCTCCGAAGGGTGGCTGGCCTCTCCCTTAGAGATAGGGTGAGAAGTTCGGCCATCCGGGAGGGGCTCAGAGTAGAGCAGCTGCTGCTCCACATCGAAAGGAGCCAGCTGAGGTGGTTCGGGCATCTGACAAGGATGCCCCCTGGGCGCCTCCTGGGTGAGGTGTTCCAGGCATGTCCCACCGGGAGGAGGCCCCGGGGCAGACCCAGGACACGCTGGAGAGATTATATCTCTCGGCTGGCCTGGGAACGCCTTGGTATTCCCCCGGACAAGCTGGAGGAGGTGGCTGGGGAGAGGGAGGTCTGGGCCTCTTTGCTTAGGCTGCTGCCCCCGCGACCCGGCCCCGGACAAAGCGGATGACGATGGATGGATGGATCTTGATGCGTGCTCAATCATCCAGGTAAGTAAATTCCAAAAGGTTGATTCTGTTCATCTGGACATTTTCAGTGGGAGAAACGTTTCGTCACTCATCCAAGTGACTTCTTCAGTCTCAGCTGACTGCAGGTTTCCCCAACCTTATAAACAGTACATTTGCATAGTGAAGGAAACTAGCACCACTGAATGAACAATGGGCTGGGGGGTTAGTTCCATGATTGTTAGTATGCAAATTCTTATGACCATTGATCAATGACAACTAATCAAAGCCTACTGATTAATGGCCATGAGTACCATTCACAGAAAGTGGGGAATGGCTACAATCACAGCATTGTAGGATGGCGAAAGATGTACCCTTGGCCCCTTCTCGATTCAGAGATGGATGAGAGGACCTTCCAAATGAGGCAGGTGCATTGTCATTTTTTCCTGCAGAACCCAGTGCAAGAGTCATACTTGTGCTTCTCAGTTTGCAGAGGAAGTAGAGTCGCTGTTGGTCTTCTCCACATTCAGGGACAGGTTGTTGTTGCTGTACCACTCTGCCAGATGGTTAACTTCACCCCTGTAGTAGATCTCGTCGTGGGTCAGCAGAGTGAAGAGAAGGGAGCTCAACACACATCCTTGGGGAGCCCCCGTATTCAGTGTTCTTGGGCTGGAGGTGTTGCTGTCGACCCGTACTGTCTGCTGTCTTCCTGTCAAGAAATCTAGCAGCCAGTTATACAGCAAGGTGCTGATCCCCAGCAGATCCAGTTTGTGAATGAGTTGCTGGGGAATGATGATGCTGAAGGCTGAACTGAAGTCTATGAACAGCACTCTGACATATGAGTCTCTAGTGTTGAGATGTGTGAGGGCTGAGTGAGGGGCAGTTGAAATTCCATCATCACTTGAGCGTTTTGACGAAAGCGATAATTTGATTTGATGCATGACTAACCGTTCAAAGCACTTCATAATGATGGAGGTGAGTTTGA